CCACGTATAGATGGAGATGGTTGGTGTGGGAGTTTGATGGTGTGGGGGGGTGGGGGGGGGGGAGGGGGGGAGGTGAATGTGATGAGTTCAGGCGTCACGGTGTGTGTGGGGTGTGGGTCTCTTTGGTTTGCCGAGTGATGACCGAGAGAAAGCCCCCCACATGCCTCTTACACCGCGTTCCCACCAAATTGGCCAAACGTTGCTAGAAACGCAGTTCGTTGCAGACGCGGTGACGGATACACTCGACGTTCCGCCGGTACGGCCCTTGCCCTCTCCTCGGCACCTTCACCTGCCTGTGCCTCGATGAATATGTTACACCTCGCAAGAGTATTTGCTCTGGTATTGGTCTCGGGCATGGTGGCGATGCCGGCATCGGGCGCTAGTCTGCTCACCTCGACAGCCATCTCGGCCAACCGCAACTGGGTGACCTGCCAGAAGAACAGTGATGGCAGCATGCAGGCGAAAGCAGGCAGTTTTCAGCTCAGAAACCAGATTTGCGCATCCAATGGCGAGCTGAGTGCCATTCCCAGCTCGACTACGGGATTGGTATGGGTGGACGAGACGTCGAGCATCGTGTTCAGCAAGACGGATATCGATACTCCCTTTGACGTCGGCATCAGCTACTACAACATCGATGCCTCGCTCAAGGCCATCAGCTTCAACACAAACTACTGGAAGACCGACAACTCGCTGGACACAAACACTCCCTTCGGAGGTACTGCCACTGTGGTCGATGTCTCGGACGCATCGGGCACATTGTCCGGGCCGGCGGTCCAGGCCATGATCCAGGCGGCTAACGACAACGCCGCCATGGCAAGCGGTCGTCTCATGATCCGCTACGAGCAGATCGGGTCAAAGTGCTCGGCAGGCAACTGCAAGCTGGACAGTAATCCTACACCTGTGGTGACCATCAACTACTACGAGGTTTGCCCTACCTTTGCTCTTGCCAACGGTGTCGTCTCCAACTCGCTCATCACATCCGCGCCCTTTGCGCCTGTTGGCGATGCCCTGTCGCTGGCCTGCAACCCAGGCTTTATGCTGATCAATGCTGGTGCGGGCAACACTGGTGCGTGCCAAGCTGATGGGACATACGTCAATGCGGCGGCCCAGTGCGTGCCGCCTCCACCGCCGCCGCCATCACCATCACCACCGCCGCCGTCGCCGCCCCCACCATCACCACCGCCACCACCGTCGCCTCCTCCTCCTCCTCCACCACCGCCGTCACCACCGCCACCCTCACCGCCACCGCCACCACCGTCGCCTCCTCCGCCACCACCGCCGCCTTCACCACCACCGCCGCCTTCACCACCACCGCCGCCATCACCGCCGCCGCCGCCATCACCGCCGCCGCCGCTCTCGCCGCCGCCACCACCATCGCCGCCACCACCATCACCACCGCCGCCATCACCCGCCGCCGCCGCCCTCATCACCACCACCATCACCACCATCGCCGCCACCACCATCGCCGCCACCACCATCACCTCCACCACCACCACCACCGCCGCCACCAGCCATCACCACCACCACCACCACCACCATCACCACCACCACCATCACCACCACCATCACCACCACCATCACCACCACCATCACCACCACCACCATCACCACCACCATCACCACCACCATCACCACCACCATCACCACCACCATCACCACCACCATCACCGCCGCCTCTGGATCTTCCGTGTGCGGTAGCCGATGCGGACGACTGCGGCGTGTGCTTTGGCAACGGCACCTCTTGCCGCGGATGCGACGGTGTCATCGGCTCGCCGGCTGTGGTGGACGAGTGCGGCGTTTGCGACGGAACGAACGAGTGCTTGTCGACCTCGACACCGTTCTCACCGCCGTCGCTCGCTATCGCCGCTGTTGCTGGCATCGGCGCAGGATGCATCCTTCTCACCGCGCTGCTTGCCGCCATCGTTATCCTCGCCTTGCGTGCCCGCGGCACCAAAGCCGGCGTTGTGCTTGCGGCACCAGGCGCGGCCGACATCCTTGTCGTCGTGCTCACTCTTCCGCACTCGGACGAGCTTCAGGCCGACCTGCAGCCCTCGGAGTTCTCCGCCATGCTTGACAGCATGGTCGAGTCATGGGAGCAGACGATTACTGTTTTCGGCGGAACCGCCATCAAGCGCGGCGGCCGGCTCGACATGATCGCCGCTGCCTCGTTTGGCCGGGACGCGAGCCTCGATGCTCTTATGGCCGCGCTAGCGGTCCACGACGCGCTGCTCAATGTAGACTGGTCGGCGGCCGTCCTCGATCATCCTCGCGCAGCTCCAGTCCGTCGGCTAGAGCCGAACTTGTCTGGTCATCGCATCCCGGGCACCATCAAGTACCTGTGGCGCGGGCCGCGCACTGTTATCAGTATTCTGGCCTGCTCGCCCGTTTCCGAGGATGGAACCGATGAGGTCGGCCCCATCTGCCTCGACAAGGCGGTTGCCGTCAACAGCGTTGGGCAAACTGGCCATGTCATTGTCACCCGTCTCGCGCTCTCGACTCTTCCTGCTGAGCTCCCGAGCGACATCTGTGTCGATTCTGGTTCTGAGATACCAGTCATGGCCATCGGCGACGAGGCGCTCCGCGTCACCGCTGTCGGCTCGGTCACCACCGCCCGCAAGCTCATGTCACCGCCCTCGCAATCGACGTTGTCAGCCTCATCAGAGCTGGACTCGACCACATCCGCCTCGGCCAGCGAGATTGCAAGCAATCCGGAGGAGATTCCGCGATTTGGTGCGTCTTCGCAGCTCGACTCGGTCGGCTACTCCTCGGCTACTGACTCGTCGGGTATTGTCTCGGGCTCAAGCCCCGGCTCGACCTGCGATGAGCCGGCTCCGTCGGCGCGGGTCAACAAGCGGAATGCGCGGCTCCGCGGGATTGCAGGCATTGGCTCGATGGGCAACGTCGCTCCGCGCAAGAGCAGGTTAGACCGAGTCCGCGGTCTTGGCGGTCGTGGTGCCAATGTGTCGATGCCACTCGGCCACGAGCCTGAGCCCACCTCCTCCCCGCCCCTCGATGTCGCCCACGACGACGGCTCGATTCTCTTCGGTGATCTCTCTCTCGAGCTAGACGAGGTCGAAGCCGCCAGCAGTGTGGCTCCCATCCCCGCCCTCCCCGTCAGCCCTGCTCGCCGCGCCGAGGCCCGTCTTCCATCGCAGATCTCGATCGAGCGTCTGCAAGCCGATCTTGGCCACGAGTAGAGTCCCATCTCTGCGACCCTTTCGATTCCACAGCAGGCATCCGTGTCGCGTACAGGCTCCGTGCCTGCATCTGCAGTAAATCCTCTTACAGCTACACGCCTCTCACCCTGATCTCATGGCCGCACACTCGCCACTCGAAGAGACCGGCTCACATCGCGACGTCGGCAAGCGCAGCGCCCGCAAGAAAGAGCGCCGGGCTCGCCAGCGGTACAGGGCGACGACGCGCGCTTTGGCTTTACTTCCGCACACGGAGAGGCGGAGAGAGGCTTGGTTAGAACAGAGCGTTGGTGGCCTTGAGCTCGCAGCACTGGTTGAGCGCGTTGGACTTGACGTCGGTGACGTAGTAGCCGACGCGCTCAAACTGGAGATGCTTCTCGGGCACCTTGAGGTCGTTGAGGACGACGGGCGGCACGTAGCCGACGAGGTCGACACGCGAGTTCTCGTTGACGTCGGCGCGCCAGTCTGGGGCGGCGGCGACGTTCTCGGACTTGAAGAGCACCCCGTAGTTGCGGACGGCAACCTGGGCCGGCGGTGTGGTGGGCGACACCCATCCGACCCAGTGGATGGCCTTGGGCTTCTTGGACTTGCCGGTCAGGGTCGACTCGTCAGTGACGATTTCGACGGTGACCGAAGTAACGTTGCCGGCGGCGTCGACATCGTTGGCGACGGCACGGACGACAGGGCCGTAGCGGAGGCGGACGACCTTGCCCGGAGCAAGGCCAAAGTACTTCTTCGAGTCGTTGAGGCGGAAGTCGCGGGCCTCGATGTAGATCTTGCCCGCAGCAAACGAGGCCGGGTAGGTCATGGCGGCCTCCGGCGTGCCCTCGGCGGCATTGGGGAAGCTTGCGGCAGCGACGGTCTGAGCAGCGGGGGCGACGGCGTCGACGTTGGCGATGATGACCTCCAGCGGGTCAAGGACCACCATGCGCCGCTCGGCAATGTTGCCAAGATCCTCGCGGAGGCAGTGCTCGAGGAGCTCGTAGCGGACCAGGTTCTCGGTCCGGGTCACGCCGACAAGGTCAACAAACTTGTTGATGGCGGCCGGGGTGTAGCCGCGGCGGCGCAGGCCGGAGAGGGTCGGCATGCGCGGGTCGTCCCAGCCGTCGACAAAGCCGTCCTCGACGAGGGCGCGCAGCTTGCGCTTGGAGACGACGACGTGGGTGATGTTAAGCCGCGAGTACTCCCACACGACCGGGCGGTAGATGCCGAGAGCCTTGAGGAGCCAGTGGTACGACTCGCGGCGGAGGCCAAACTCGAGGGTGCAGAGCGAGTGGGTGATGTTCTCGAGTGCGTCGACGATGCAGTGCTCAAAGTCGTAGGACGGGTAGACACACCATGCGTCGCCAGCCATCGGGTGCTCGTGGAACTTGACGCGGTAGGCGATGAGGTCGCGCATGCACGGGTTGTCGCTCTGCATGTCCATCTTCAGCCGCAGCGTGGCCTCGCCCTCGCCGATCTTGCCCTTGCGCATGTCGCGGAAGAGCTTGAGCGACTCGGCCGCCGGGCGGTCGCGCCACGGCGAGTTGGTCCGCTTCTGCCGCGACTCGACAATTTCGGCCTTGTTCTGGTGGCACACGTATGCGTGGCCGGAGAGAATGAGCTGCTCGGCATACGCGTACATCTGCTCAAAGTAGTCCGATGCCTTGGTCACCGCCACCGGCTCGTGGCCGAGCCACGCCACGGCCTCGCGGATGGCCTTGTAGTACTCGGGCTTCTCGGCCTCGGGGTTGGTGTCGTCGTACCGCAGGTAGCAGATGCCGCCCTTGGCCTTGGCGTAGCCAAAGTTGAGGCCCATCGACTTGGCGTGTCCGATGTGCGGGAAGCCGTTCGGCTCGGGAGGGAACCGGGTCACCACCTTGCCGCCCGTCGTCGCCAGATGCTCCGCAAGCAGCTTGGGATCGTCCTGCTCGTTCTCTTCGGGCGCGGAGAACACAATCTTCTCGGCAGTCGTCTCGGCAACCTCAGCAGCGGCCGACGCGCCGGCCTCGTTACCCTTGCCCTTGCCCTTGCCCTTGCCGCCCTTGCCCTTGCCCTTGCCCTTGCCGCCCTTGACCGGTGCCGCCGGCGGAGGGCCGTCGTCAAACGCGGTCCGTGGGCCGAGCGTCTCGGCGATCTTGGCGTCAAGGATGTTCTTCACCCGCGCCCCATCCACAAACGGCAGCGAGCGCGTCGTCTGGCCCAGCAGCTTGCCGGTCTTCATGTGGTACCGCATCCGCTGCAGTTCCTCGGCGTGCGCCTCGAGCGTCTTGGCCACCGCCGCGCCGATCTGCTCGTCGGTGTACGAGACGCCGACGCCAGACGCCTTTTCAAACGCCGCCACGTCGAGCTCGGCCACCGGCACGTTCTTGTTCTTCTTCAGCCACTTGGTGGCAGCTGCAAACTGCGGCTTGCGAATCCGCTCATCGGCCACGTATCCGGCCAGGAACGGCAGGTGGATGTCCGCCACGTGCTTCGGCGCCACCGCCGCCACCTCGTACAGCATGTTGCACGCCGATGGCGTTGCCGGAGTTCCAACCTGGAGGCAGCAATGACGAGAGAGGAAAGGGAAAGAGAGAGTGTGTGTGAGTGAGTAAGTTTGAGCGGAAGCACCGACGACGACGGCGATGATGCAATGTGGATGGCCATAATCACGACGACGATGAGCACGAGCACGAGCACGAGCACGACGACCGACAACCGACGGCGACGATGACAAGCACAATGGTGACGGCGACAGCGACGGCGACAAGCATGACGGCAACGGCGACGGCGACGGCGCCAAGCACGACAGCAAGAAGACCGCAGCGAACGACCAACAACAGCGAGGCCCAACGACGAGCAACGACGAGCCACGATGAGCCACGACGAGCCACGACGAGCAACGACGAGCCCCCTTCCCCCCCTTGCCCCTCCCATCAGCGCCACACACACCCTTACTCCCTTTCGTACCATG